AAGAAAAATCTCAGCAAGAACACCGCACATGTGCAAATGCAAAATCCGTTCTCTCAATGGACGAAATTCAGACAGTTAGTATTTCTAAGGAAGGATTATCGAAATCACCATCGGGCTGTGCGTGAGGGGGTCTTGCAATAAAAATTCCCAATCAAAAATCTATAGGTGTATGGCCAGCCGAAGGTGGTACTTGTGCCCCGACTCATTCACTGACGGGTTAAGGTAAAAGAGTAAATAAACAGTAAAATTCCACCATGGGTCCTTAAGAGGTTAACAGACAAAAGCCGCCGGGACTGCCAAACTGCCGTCGGCTTTAAAGGTGACTCAGCTGCCTGCAGATCCCTACTGCGGGCCAGTAAAGTGCCCGGCCGACACCCCCGCCATGGTTCCCGGGCTCTGCTGCCCCTCCCATGGGCCCGGGGACTGGCATCTGGGGTGTCGGCAGGAAGCTGGGGCGGAGAGCGGCGAACATCTGTTCACCGATCTCCCCGCTCTATGGGACCGGGAGCGACGTGTATTGCATCACTTCCGATCCCATAGCTGTCATGAGACATCTGTCTAATGTGTCGTTTTGGAAAAATGTGTTTTTCGGACGAACTTTCGTTATTCGGAGATTCAGATGTATCTGAATTTCCTAATAACAGAAATGACGAACGAAAACTAATTTTCGTTGCAACGAAACGAACGCAACGAATATGAAAAGAAAACGAAAATTCGCACAGACTACCGCTAGCGGATTTTGTCCAAATCCCAAAACGAATTGACTTTTGGACCCGAATCCCAAAAAACGAATAACGTAAAATCCGAATCTAAACTGAACACATTTGTTGACAGTGCACATGTCTAGCTGTCATCGCTCAGCTCCTGAAGCCCAGCAATAAGCTGTGCGATCTGCACTTCAATAGCTTATATAGAGTGTAAAGGTGACACTGGGGGTCTTTTGGACCCCCCCATCATCACCTTAAAGAGGAAGTGACAGCAATTAAAATAAAGTTCAAAACAAAAAAAGTTTTATAAACATTACTCAAATTTATATGCAAATGAACACCCCAAAATCTATGCAAATCAGAAAAGGGGGAAAACATAGTCTCCCTAAGTCCAAATACACCAAAAACACCCCATTCCACAACCACAGACAGAAGACTCCCCCGCCCCCCTCCCCATGCCAGACTCAGACTTCAGGCTCAGAACATTAATTAAAGGGCATGTACCGATGCTTTTTGGAATGTCTGAGAGGGGTGCTGAGGGGCGGGAGTTAAATGAGAAGACATAAAGAATGTGAGAAGATGTCCGACGCTATTAGTAAACGTCCGCTATAACTGGCCCGTCGGTGGTTGAGATGCCGGTCGTGTCCCAGACGTTGAGGACAGAACCTATTCCCCCTTCTCCAACAATCCTACAGGACATCCCAGAATAGACCCCATTCCAGGAATATGTGACTGATAGATGATCAATGTTGAGGGATGTGGACTCGGAGTCTCGTTAGGCTTTGTACATGGAGACTCGGGGTCCTCCTCTCATAGTACATGGCCTCAGCCTTGGTTGGTGACATTGGCTGAATCTTCCTCTTCCGGGTTTAATTTGACTTCCTTTGTACTTGTCGGTAGAATCTGAAAATGGGATCGTTTTAGAAATTGGACGACTTTAGTTCGGCAACACAGACCATTGTAGCGGACACCACACATCCTTCTATCACATGGACAGTCCGGGTACTAAATGAGGTCAAATTTGGGGGCGACATTGTGGTTTTGGACAATTAACTATCTCATTGCTGTGACCAATAATTCCATTTTATTGGATGATTTGTATTTCCGTGCCCTTCCCATGTGGGGCGTCACTGGGATGCGTCTCAGAATGTTTCCCAATACGTATTGATGAACACGAACCTCAGTTCCTGGTAATCGGGAGGTCTGGTATTCCTGCCAGGACACCTACAGATTATATATATATATATACACACACATATACATACATACCATACGCGACTGCTGCCATGGGGGAGGGGAAGAGAAAGAGGCCATGCTCTACTTACGCCCCAATATTAGAGGGGGCCCCACATCTGCTGTGCTCACACAAATGATGGAATCTTTGGGGCCTGAACCTGACAGTCCAGCACAAGGGTCATTGATCCTTTCCTCTTCTCCATGGGGGTATAGACAACCCCCGCACCCCAGCTAGTTAAACTACTAATCCTGTCATGCCTATGGCTGTCAGTCCTGCAATGCCTCATGGGACTTTTGTAGTTCTAGAACAGGTTGCCCGCCCCAGTAATACCTTTTTAGGATCTGCATGGACGGTACGGAGCCCCTCCAACTACCGCAGAGTCTCTAGTGGTTCAGAAGGAGCCGACAATCCATGAGAAGCATTGCAGGAGATTACTGTCCATGGCCTGGCATTGGTCTTCCCTCTGCAGGTCACCGGTGAAGAGTCTGTGCTGCTCATACATGTAGCAGCCATGATTGCTGTGTGTACAGGACACATGACTCATGGGAAATCAGACTACAGAGCTTCTCCATAATCATTCATCTCTAATCTATTTCACAAATGAAATCTCAATATGGAAACGCAACGCAATGATTATCAGTAATGGAAAGGTCATCAAATTCCTCCCGCCGACCCGTCTCTGCTCATCGCTTCTAGAACACAATGTACTTCCTGTACCAGCAAACTGCACTGACCTCCTATGCAATACCCATCATCATCCAATCCTTCCAAGTGTACCCCCAGCACCCGTGTCCCCTCCATCCAGGCCTCCGACCTGGATATATGAGTTCAAAGGGGGTAGACCATTTCCAGATCACATATGTAGACCGACTGAAAGGGGAGAGATTTTGGGTCATATAACTGTAGAAATAGAATAGTTAAGAGAGAGGAGGGGAGAGGCATGGCCGAGCAGTGAAAGGAGAGAGAGAGAGAGATAGAGAGAGAGAGAGAGAGAGACACATGGCCGGCAGCTCTCTCTCCTCAACGCTCAGCCATGCCTCTGTGACATCGGCTCCCTCCTCTGCCGGTAGCAGCACTTCCTTTACTTCTCCTCGGATCCCTGCTGCATAAGGATGGGGGAGAGCAGCGGGGATCCAGAGGAGACGCTGAGCCCCCGTGTGCGTGGCCGAGCGGCGGAGGATCGGTAAATATCAGTGATATAGGCGATCCTCTTTGTGCAGGACAAACACTGGAGCGATCAGCTGATCACTCCGGTGTTTGTAAATAACTGGGGGCACATAGTACTGTGTCCCCAGTTATGAATGAACAGGAAGTGCTTTACATCACTTCCTGTTCATTCATGAGTTTCTCATTGGGGAGTAGCAATCTGTACAATCTGCTCTTCTCCATTCAGAAACTGGATGATAGTAAATAGTTTCTGAATGAATGGGAAGCCTCTGTGCTCTCCATTCATTTAGAACAGGGGCTGCAGAAAAAGAGATTGAGGTCTGTGTCTCTAGACGTAAAGAAGCTAGCTACGGCTCTGCTCCCACGGTGCTCGTGTGGCTGCCGGCTGAATGTGTCAGACGCCGCAAACGGGAAGGGGCGGGACACCTCTCCCCATGTGCAACGTCGGCCACATGAGCACCGCGGGAGGACAGGACTGCAGTGGAGGTAAGAAAAGACAGAGAGACAGGGGAGTGACAGCCAAGAGAGGGCCGGTTCACACCACAAAGCCTGCGTTCCAGGTGCGGCGCCATTGACTTCAATGCACCGCCAACCCGCGCCCCCATGGGGGTGTCCTGTAATAAATAATAAAGACCGGTCACTGCTGTTCTCTCTTCTTGTGCATGGTGACTGGTCTCGTCTCCGCCCCCTCCTGGAGTTTCCTGTAGTGGGTGGGGCCTGCTTGGAACAGGCTATGTACAGCACAGTGATTATGTCAGTGCTACTATTACACAGTAAGATCCGGGTTTGCAGGGGCATTTGGTGCACACAAAGCAGATTTCTATCCTTTATGTCTGAGGAGGAGTATATTGAAGGGACGGGTTTTTTGTGCCCCGGATTTCAACTTTATGCATCATGACAGTGAACAGCCATCTCACAGCTAACATGGGAACAGCCGGACAGTCAAAGATGAATCCGATTCATTGCTTTGTGCTGTACAGATCTGACCTCTGACCCTCTTCTAGGTGTAGCCCACTGTCCTCTCACCATCACACCAATGGAGACGTCACAACCCCTACAAAGGTCAGCAAAGCCCTGGTGGACCCCCAGTGCTTCTGTGATACGAGGACCCACTTAATGCCCAGTCATCTCCGTCCCCCAGCTTACATCATGTGCCTGTCCTATATTACACAATCACTGCTGGCAGCACCGGTACAATCCTTCCACACCCGAAGCAAAAAGGCCAGAGTGTGCCCCTCCCCCTATAAGTTGTGAACTACCTTATCATTTTTTTGGAGACCCAACCTCGGCCAGGAGCCGTCGCCTCCGGAATCTGGAGAGGTAAGAAGCCGCCAGGTGAGGCGACGCGTCAGAGCGCAACCAACCCAGAAATCTCAGTTCCCGGGAGGAATGTTAAAAAACAGTCCCAGTGCTGAAATGCAGATAAATACAAGCTGTGCTATGTGCGCCACCTGGAGATCGGAGGAGTCACCCAGTGCCGAGCGACTACAACTCCCAGCATACACCGTGGCAAGGGCAGCGTCATGAGCAATTGTCCATTGTGACAACCGAGATCTTTTGACGGCGGAGAGCAGCCTACAGCAGCCAGCATGCGATGTGGCGGATGGAATCGCAGAGTCGCTCCCCGCATGCCAAGACAGCTCGCAGATTTGCGGTGGAAACAGCGGGGGGGAGGGGTCCCCAGGGGCCGAAGGGCCTCTAGACTGCACAGCATTGAAATATTGAAATGGTTTATTTGCGCTCCTCTATAGACAATAAAGAGCCGCGCGCCCTTCAATACAGATAATCGCCGCGTTTCGACTTATGTAGACTCCGTTGACTCATCTCATGTGACGAGGAATGTCTGTGTAGAATGTTTTCACCAAGTGATCCCCTTCGAGTGCTTTGTTCAGGAGGCCGATGGCGCCCCCCCCTGAGGTCCAGAACCTTGTATGAAATCCAGCCAATAGCCAAGCCCCCCTCCTACTGTCTGTTATCTTTGGACACCGTGTGTGCAAACCAGTTCACTTTGGTCTTCCAGCTTTCCCGCAGCGCCTCATTAAACTTCACCCGGAAATGCTTCAGCGCTTCGTCATCACTTTTCCCCAAAGCCAGAGAGTCCTGCGTGTGATAGAGAGAGGCGGAGCCATGATTAGAGAGGCGGAGCCATGATTGATTAGTTCTGTGATCAGCAGTTACAACCCAACCTGAAATACGGAACTGTCAAAAGATTTCTGCTTTTGTCCAGCCAGTCTCGTGACTCACACAGCTCTGCCACACTGCACAGGCAAGTAGGTTTGTGTTACCGGAGCGCTGGACCCCGGAGAACACACAAATCAGGAGTCTGTCAATCGGGGTATCCTACAGCCAGTTTGGTGAACCGGATCTTATACCATCGTCATCGCCGTGGTGGAACTACAAATCCCATGAGGCATTGCAAGATTCTCACAGCCACGACTCCCGGAGAGAGATGCATTATGGGATTTGTAGTTTCACCACAGCTGGAGGGCTGGAGTTTGGCTACCCATGATCTAATGCTCAGCATTAGATTGCACAGCCTGGTGCTGGAGGGCCGGAGTTTGGCTACTGGAGGTGCTGGGGGGGCCGGAGTTTGGCTACCCCTAATCTAATGCTCAGCATTAGATTGCACAGCCAGGCAGGTGACCCCCCATTTCCTGCTTCTCAGCCTTCAGCCCCATGCCTATGAATGGATTGGCATCCCGCCATAGATTCATTATCCAGCGAGCAGGCAGATGAACCGGGAAAAACGGAAGAGTCATCTTACTGGATGTACAGTGTGGAAGAGGGGTGCGGACCACAAGAACGGCTGATCAGAGTTACAGTTTTGTGTTTGGTAGGTAAAACAGTTCATATAGCTGTCACAAGCCAGTGACCTGGAACAAGTATGCAGCCAGAGAAGTGCTGGGACAGCTGAAGTGCACATGCTCGACTACAAAAGTCAACAGCTTTAAACATCCAGCATGCGATACTAGTTGTGGCCACCAGATGGCGCTCATGTATATGTACGGGGAGAGCTTATTCACTGTACACAGCGCGCGTTATTGCGCACATAACACACATGCATTGGTGTGCGCTTCGCTGCGTTGCTGTGATAGGGACACATTAAAGAGCACTTGTCTTGCTGAAGCAGCAGGGTGGGGAGGGTTGGTACCAGTGTTGTGTTTTTTCCCCCTGACTAAATCTAGAGAATATGGTAGAAATGATCAGCAACAAGCCTTCCCGGAATGAGAAGGGAACAATGGCTGCCTCAATGTTTCCTTTCAAGGATATCTAAAGCCGACATGTTTAGAGTTGGGAATGGTTAGAAGCCGTATCTGATGTGTATTACTTTGTGGGTTCTCGCTGGGGAGATTCATCCTCTCTACTGGTCCTGGTGACAAACATGTGATAGGAGACCACCAGTACAGAGGAGGAGAGGAAGAGGAGAAATCTTCCAATGGGGACATCTGTTCTGGTGACAGCAGGAAGGGGGGGAAATGTCCTTTCAGTTATGTCTCTGGGACAAGAATGAAGGAAATCTCCCACAAGGGATTCACAAAGAAAACAAAACATAGATAAAAGGTGCTAAGCCAGGAGAGGGCAACCGTGATCCTCCAGCTGTGATGAAACTACAAATCCCTTGATCCCTCTGCCTGTCAGAGTCCTGCAAAGCCTCATGGGGCTTGTAGTTACACAACAGTTGGAAGGTCGGAGTTGCCCACCCCTTGGCTCCAGCACCAATAAGCCCCAACCCCTAATGGCAGCTGTAAATTGATGAGCATATGACAGATTGTAACCCGTCATGCTGAATGCCAGCTGGGAGCTGTGCCATGGAAGGAAAATGTGGTCACCTTGAGATACTGGATGTCCTTGGAACAGGTGAGCTCAGGCAGACCGGCTGCTTTCATCAGTGCAAACAAATTAAGGAAGAGAGTGCCGTGGCATCGCAGGATCGTGTAGGCTTTTTCACAGTAGTCTCGGAACCTGTGCAAGCGGAAAAAACCGACATCAGTGGAGAATATTACCCTTCCTATATGGTACCAAGGGTCCGGCGATAAACATCTGCATTAAGCCAGAACAGTAAGGAGAGATACACATCGGACTGTGAGGACTCATGCACATGGCTGTAAATAATGCTGCACTTCTATCAGTACAATGTTTTGTTGTCTGAATCTCAACGCAGGCGTATTTGTTCCTATGGGCCCATGCACATAGTGCTTAGAGATCAGTAAATGTGTGCTGCATTCAGATCTGTAAAATGGATGCCGTTGCTCAAACCACCCAACACCCTTTGCTGCTAGGATACAGAAGGCTCCTTAGCACCTAGCGTCCTTCATTGTTAGGAAGCAGGCAGTGTGGTTGATGTTGCCTAGCGCCCTTTATTGCTAGGATGCAGGAGGCGCCTTAGCACCTAGCTTTCCTTGTTAGGAAGCAGGCAGTGTGGTTGATGTTGCATAGCGCCCTTTGCTGCTAGGATACAGAAGGCTCCTTAGCACCTAGCGTCCTTCATTGTTAGGCAACATCAACCGCTGCCTGCTTCCTATCACCCTTTGTTGCTAGGACGCAGGAGGCTCCTTGCCACCTAGCGTCCTTCGTTGTTATAAAGCAGGCGGCAGCTGATGTTGCCTAGCGCTTTGTTATTAGGATGCAGGAGGCTCCTTGCCACCTAGCTTCCCTCGTTGTTAGGATGCAGGAGGCTCCTTGCCACCTAGCTTCCCTTGTTATTAGGATGCAGGAGGCTCCTTGCCACCTAGCTTCCCTTGTTATTAGGATGCAGGAGGCTCCTTGCCACCTAGCTTCCCTTGTTATTAGGATGCAGGAGGCTCCTTGCCACCTAGCTTCCCTTGTTATTAGGATGCAGGAGGCTCCTTAGCACCTAACATCCTTTGCTGTTAGAAAGCAGGCAGTTCACGCTGCCAGGGTGCTTTGTTGCTAGGATACAGGTAGCTCTAGCCGGCTGCATCCTAGCAAATGAAGGACACTAGGCAGCAAGGAGCTACCTGCATCCTAACAATGAAGGACCGCCTAGTGTATTCTGTTGCTAGGATGCCGGCAGCTCCTTGATACCTTGTTTCCTTCCCTGCTAGGATGCAGGTAGCTCGAGCCGCTTAGTGTCCTAGCGACTATAAGGGATCTTTGCACAATATGCATGTAAACAATGCACAAACATTACATGATACAGAGCTTTTTATGCAGGATCTTTCGGCCAGCAAAGTCCTGCATACTAGTTGCTGTATTTTCCTACAGCCGTGTGCGTGAGCCCTAAATAGTGGCCGCCACGTTGTTACATTCTTGTTCTTCAAAAGAGAAGAGAAAAAGAAGAAGCTGAAGAAAAAGGATGTTGTAGACATATGAAGACAGATGATGATGATGGCAGATAACAGACTTCCTCTCACCTCTCAAATTTCTCGCTGTTATTGGTCTTCCCTTGCTGAATGACATGCACAAAATCGTACGTCAGGATGAAGGGAACCCGCTCGCGGTTAAAGCCAAACTTGGTCTTAAAATTACCCAGGAAGTGGCCGAAATCTATGTGAAAGAGCTGCAAGAGAATATATATTGGAGATGAAACAGATTTTTGCCAACGTGTTTTCTCCAAGTGCCCGCACTCCTCCCTCTTTCCTTGTCGCTCCGGCTGTGTTAGGAAGCTCATTGATCCGTCTGAGGCGGCTTGGTCCCTAGGCCCAGGCTGTACAGGAGCCTCAGCTACAGTCCTTGGGGGGGGGGGTTAGTAGTTTACAGAAGGAAGATAGCATTGTTTTTGCTTTCTGTTCAGTTCACAGGAGGTGGCAAGGACACAGCATTTCTGGCAGAGCCAACAGGCATGTTCTACAATTGCTAAAAATGTTCTTCGCTTAAAAACAAAGCCAAAAAAATCCCAAATGTAGTCACCACAGGACTGGTAAGCTGCAATAAATTAAATATTAGTTCCTGGATTTCGTTATGCTTTAATATGGAGTTGGGCAGTAGTAAGACCCGGGCCTAGGATCCACAGGGACCAATATTAGAAGACTACTACAAGCTTCCTGCATTTCACTCTTCTGCACCATTTTAGGCCATGACAAGTTATATTTAACCTCAAAAACAAACTTTTGATCTATAAGATCTATGACTAGAGCAGCGCAAAGTTATCACCACCTGTGTGTGACAGGTACTCTTTATAATGACGGTAGTGAATGAAGCGCTACTGCAAGCTATGAAACCGAAAGGACTCCGGAATAAAGAAGGCCGGAAATGGCGTACCTGTCCACTTTCCCGTATCATGATATTGTCGCTGTGGCGATCCCCAATGCCCAGGACATAGGTTGCTACACAGTAGCCAGCACATGACAGCGTGAACTCCTCGATGGCTTTTTCCAGAGCGTCCCTAACAAGCAACAGGAAAGGAAAATGACTTCCGAACATGGAACCGAGCAGCAGAAGTGACGGGGAAAATGTTAGACATGAAATCAGGATAAACAAAATCTGCATCCGATAAATTATATACAACCAATATAGAAAACTTAATTTATTAAATGACAGTGAACGATAGAGTTCCCCAGAATGCACTGCCAGCCAGATCCCCGACAAATCACTCACCCCGGATTCTTGCTCTTTAACCAGTTCAGCAGTGCATCTTTGTTGAAGGCCGCAGTAGCTGCCATGTTGCTCTTGTTGCGCTGGATGTTGGCGATCGTATCAGAACGCATGACAACTTCAATAAGGCCAGTCTTGTCCCCGGTCGATAGGCAGCCATAAGGTGTGACCCTGTAAAAGCAGGCAAAAAATCAGTGGAGATGTTGCCGCTTGCCCTCTCTCATGCTGTAAAGTTTCTGCACTGACTACTAGGGGTGCTCCACCAATCACAGGCAAAAAAAAGTAAAACCAAGCAATACTGTATTCATTCTATCCAGTTAACAACACATTCACTGCGTGTTATAGTTCCTTACCGGAGGTCCAGTCCCTCCTTCTTCCACAGAACATCCATGAGCCGGATCATTTGTAGTGTCAGCATATCCTGGCGGAGATCTGTGGAGAATGTAGGACACGGTGTGAAGGTTTGAGATAATAAACCTAGGGTTTTACATATGTCAGCCTTCCCCCAGAAGATCCCAGACACCATTAAATGAAGAGGGCCTTCACAAAAGAACTTAAGACACCTTCATATACAGAGGGCCTTCCCGGATGACCTTAAACAGCTTAATATATGATGAACCTAGACATCCTTATATCCGGGGGTCCTTCTCAGACGAACCTTGTCACCGTCATATACAGGAGGCCTTCCCAGGTGCACTTAGACACTCTCATATACAACGGGTCTTCCCAGATGGACGTAGAAACCCTCATATATGGGGGCTCTTCCTGGATGAACCTAAACACCCTCATATAAAAGGGGGAGCCTTCCCAGGTAAAATTAGACACCCTCATATACGGGGGCTTTCCCAGATGAACCTAGACACCCTCATATACGGGGGCCTTCCCAGATGAACCTAGACACCCTCCTATAAACGGGGGACATCCCACATGGCCCTGGACACCCTCATATACATGGGGTCTTCCTAGATATACCTGGACACCATCCATATATGATGGGCCATCCTGGATGAACCTGGACACCATCATATATGGCGGGCCTTCCCAGATGAACCTAGACGCGCCCTCATATCCGATGGGCATTCCCAGATGAACCTAGACACCCTCATATATGGCACACCTTCCCAGAAACAGTCTTACCATCTCCATTCTTGAAGATGATGCCGACGCGATTTCCGCCCGATAGTTCGTTATTGTATACAATCCACAGCGGCTTCATCTTAGATTCCATGAAAGTGCAAAGCTCTACACTGTGGAAGAGAACACTGCTACTCAGATTACAGAAGCAAGGACCCTGGCCAGTGTTTTATTGTATTGTTTCACGATTGCTAGAGAAAGCCTGTTCTTCATTTGAAACCTTTCAAAGTGAAAGTGGCAGACACCACAGGATGTCAGCTATTTCCTTTATTTGTCTGAAAAGCCTCTTGTGACGCACCCCACTGATTCAGTTTCACTATGTTACTGGTGCCTTTAGGTTTGTGAGTATATTTTGCAGAAGTTCAGCTTCAAGTCTTAACATGGCCGATTTCAGATAAAGGCTCAGGCAACGTAGCCCTCGGCTCTCATCCAAGTTGGAGAAATGTTACCTTTTTCCTGGTGACTCTCTTAATATTATGTTCAAAAAGGATTCACGTTTGTACCAAGTTGTTTTTAGACAAATCAGAAGTGTGAATGCAGCCAAAGTGTAACGTTCAACTTCCTAAGTGTGGGGCCCATTTGTAATGGTATCTGCAGCCTTAGTATCAACCTAGATGGGTCCCCCCCCCCCATGTAAAATCCCTTTGCTGGCATTATATATTAAACATCTACAAAGCCACCCGGACAGCATAAAGATTGACTGCCAATTCCTAGAAGCTCACATTTCAGATGCAGCATAAGTGATGTGTCCTAGATTCCTACCAGCTGTTCAAGTTCTCAGGTAACAGAAGTCCCTGAACAGACAAAATCCACGAATGTTAGAATACAGCTCCCTGGTATACAAATCTGAACCAATGTTCGCCTATTTCTGATGCTTTTGTCTGGTGAAGATGTGCCCATGGTACTTATACTTACCATACATCTGTCAGAATCAGGCTGGGGTCCAGAGGGGAGTAGAGGTGGGAGAGTGGCTCCAGGTAGGTCTCCTGTCTCAAACACATGTGCATCGCCTCCTTGGCCTGGGGCTTGTTGGTCTTCTGGACGCTAGACCTCACAAAGTCATTGAGACCTTTCAGCTTGGACAGAGCTTCCCCCTGTGCCACAAAAAATTAAATGAACAAAAAGGTGTCACCGTGGCATGTTCCCAAAACACACAACTGACCTTAAAAAAATGAAGAATGAGTCTCAATAATACTTAAAAAAGGTATACAAAAGGAGGACCAAAAAGTGCTCCACCTGCTTCATGAGAACCTTCATATGGTAGTTACTGCCCCGACAATATGCTTCAAGGATGAGACCGAACCTCAGGGCCACCGCGGGGACATGCATCTCCGATCTGGAGGGGGCAGACAGAAAGAAAAGCTGCAGATCAGAACACACACGAGACACAATAACTACATAACCAAAACATTCCAGCAAATGCTACGTTATGCGAAAGAATTGCTAGTCATTTTGTCCTGCATAGGCAAAGCGTGTGTTCACTCGAAATTTCCCTATGAATTACATTAAAGTGTATGCATAGCCATTACTTCTTAGGTTTTGGATAGAGTAGGAGAGTTAACATCCTCACCAGAGTATTTTTTTGCTGCTTGTGCACCATTGGGGACATTTCCCTTCATTTCCTGTTCCAGAAATGCAACAGGAAGTTAGAGGAAACATGCAAAAGTGAGGTGAATTCCCTGTTAGCTGTCCCCAAGAAAAAGGTTTCCCCATTGGAATATTTCCCTTTAACTTTTGTTCTGGGGACAGCAATACAATTCTGAATTCCCCATCACTTTCTGTGACAGTGGTGATGGTCTGCAGGATAAATTGAGGGGTAATGCTCTCCAAAGGGGACTCGAACATCAGTAACAACTTGACGAGGGTCTAACCCTTCACCACTCTATCCAAAACTGGAAAACATGTTTTGCCCAGAGAAACCTTTTTGACATAAACCATTTTGTAACTTATGTTTAGTGGTTCTTTAAAGGCAGAACTACAGAAACCAACATAAAAAGAAAGCACCTTCTGGCTGGCCAGTCAAGTACTCATTCTACAGTCACATGACTGGTCCCAGAGGAATAGGTCGGTGCACATTGTAAGCCATTACCGGAGGTGCCAGAACAGGAAGTGACCGATCTTGCGGTGGATCAGCGCTCTCTCCAGCAGAAAGATTGTCAGCTCACAATCCAAATAAGATTCGTACTTGAGAACCTGAACCAGCTGCAGCAGATATTGGCACAGTTCTTCATTCCTGAGAAGAGAATATGGGGACATGGATGATCAGTTTTATTCTGAATAAAGGGGAAGACATACCTCCTGCTGCCTTGTTCCACTTGGGTGTGCATCTGCCCAACAAGTCTGCCCTCTTCAAAGTGACCCAACTGCTAGACATGCCTCACCCATCCAGAGTGGCCCACTGCCAGACCCATCTCCCCACCCTCTAGAATGGCCCACTGCTAGACCCATCTCCCCACCCTCTAGAGAGGCCCACTGCCAGACCCATCTCCCCACCCTCTAGAGAGGCCCACTGCTAGACACGCATCCCACCCTCTAGAGAGGCCCACTGCTAGACACGCATCCCACCCTCTAGAGAGGCCCACTGCTAGACACGCATCCCACCCTCTAGAGAGGCCCACTGCTAGACACGCATCCCACCCTCTAGAGAGGCCCACTGCTAGACACGCATCCCACCCTCTAGAGAGGCCCACTGCTAGACACGCATCCCACCCTCTAGAGAGGCCCACTGCTAGACACGCATCCCACCCTCTAGAGAGGCCCACTGCTAGACACGCATCCCACCCTCTAGAGAGGCCCACTGCTAGACACGCATCCCACCCTCTAGAGAGGCCCACTGCTAGACACGCATCCCACCCTCTAGAGAGGCCCACTGCTAGACACGCATCCCACCCTCTAGAGAGGCCCACTGCTAGACACGCATCCCACCCTCTAGAGAGGCCCACTGCTAGACACGCATCCCACCCTCTAGAGTGGCCCACTGGCACCACTGGCAGACCCACCTCCCCACCCTCTAGAGTGGCCCACTGCTAGGCACGCATTCCACCCTCTAGAGTGGCCCACTGATAGACACACCTTCCCCAAACCAGAGTGGCCCACTACCAGGCACACCTTCTACCTCCAGAGGAAACCATTGCCAGACCCAACTCCCCACTCTA